CGCGTCGACTCCGCTGGTTAGGCCATGTACTTCTGAAACTCAACATGGATTGCATTGGCAAAGGATCGTGTCCCGGTACACAGAAAGCCTCAACGCCAGTGCCAATCGACGGCTACAGCAGTGCGTGCCCCAGTTATGAGTCGGATGACCAGGGGAAGCGACCACCCACGCAAGTAAAGCCGCGATCGCCCACACCTGCAGGACCTGCTGGTGAGGACAGTATGAATAAGCTAGCAGGACAGTTTCTCGGTGCCATGACGCAAGCCATCACCAGTCGGACACCAGGCAATAGAGACACGCCCATGAGACACTTGGCAGCCAGACAGTCCTCCATCAACACCAAGCTGCCCATGTTCTCTAGTAGAGCTGAAGAGTGGCCTGCCTTCATCAACCTGTATCGGTCCAGCACCAACCAATGTGGGTTCTCCGATGCAGAGAATGTGCAAAGACTACAAGTTGCCTTGAAAGGCCAGGCCAAGGATGCCGTTCAACTGATACTGGCAGTTCCTGAAAATGTGGAAGAGTCCATCCGCGCTCTGGAGCGGCGATTTGGTCGACCAGAGCTAGTAGTGGATGAATTGATTGGCAAGGCGCGCGCATTCCGGCAGGTTAAGGCTGATGACACCGATGGTTTGTTGGCGTTCTCAACAGCAGTAAGCAATGTGGTCACGACAATGAAACTGATGAAGAGTCCAGGCCATATGCTGAACCCAACGCTCCGGAGAGAGCTGACCGACAAGCTACCCGGTACGCTGAGGCTGCAGTGGGGGGAACACCTAAATACCAACAGCCGGGCAGTCGACTCAGTGAGTCTTGAGACATTCGCTACGTGGCTGTCGGCAAGAGCCGATGCAGCGACCCTAGTCGCAACCACAAGGATACCAGTGAGCAAGCAGAGCAGTGGAACGTTCCACAAAGCGACACCAGCAACCAGCAAGAGCGGCGTATGCCTGAGATGCCATGGCGCTCACCACATCAGCAGCTGTGGCAAGTTCAAAATCTTACCTGCCCGGAAGAGGTGGGACCTGGTGTTTCTGCTGGAGCTCTGCTCATGCTGCCTAGATCAAGGTCACTGGAAGGCTGACTGCCAGGCAAGTAGCTGCAGCAAATGTTCAGCCCGACACCATGTGTTGCTACACACAGCCCGTGTGGACCGGAAACAGGGCACACCGAAGCAGCAAGATAAAGACAAGCCTCGGTCTGCTCCCCATTCTAGTGGCAAGACAGCCCAGAAGCCAGTCATACACTTCGTGAATCCATCATCGGAGCTGACCACTCCCAGCACCACCGTATCGTTTATGACAGTGCCAGTGGTGCTTAAGAGAAACGGACCAGAGTACAGAGGAACAGCCCTGATGGATCCTGCATCATCAGACAGTTTCGTCTCAGAAGAAGTTGCCAATGAGTTGGGCGCAGACGGTGAATTGCAACCCCTCCGCTCTAATGTTCCGGCTGGACAGAGTGTGAATCGCCAATCCAAAGAAGTACACATCACCATGGCCAGCGAAGACGGAACATACAGCACTGACCTTGCGGCATGGACTCTCCCAGCAGTCTCGCCGTCACTGAGAGTCGACTCAAACTCGATGCTCCTGCAAGAATACGCCCACCGCCAGGACATTCCATTTCCAACATTACCGACAGAGCAAGTGGATGTGCTTAATGGATTGAATGTCCCAGGCGCTCACCGTGTTCTACAAGAAATTGTCGGCCAAGAGTCAAATGATCCAATAGCTCGCAAGCTGCCAGTTGGATGGGTATGCTTCGGGCCCATGAAGCAACAGCAACAGCAGCAGCAGCGTCAATATCTCTGATGGCACTGGAACGATTCTGGAAACGACGAGGTATGCCATCAGAGATATTGACGGATAATGGAACCAACTTCATCGCGGGAGAACGGGAGATCAGAGAAGCGTTAGCCGCTGTTGACACAGCCAAAGTCACCCGGGAGTTGGCCTCCCACCGCATCAAGTGGAGGTTTAACCCGCCTGCTGCGCCACACTTTGGAGGAGTGTTCGAGACCTTGGTGAAAGCCATGAAGAGAACTCTCCACAAAGTCCTCTACCGTGCCGACCTCAGCGACGAGGAGCTACACACCGCTCTGGTGCAAGCTGAGAGCCTAGTGAACAGCCGTCCACTGACAACGCTGTCGACCGACCCTGAAGACCTTATGCAGTTGACGCCTCAACACTTCCTGGTTGGCCACATGGACATCGTGCTACCCATTGAAGACCATGAAGACGACCAGGATAAAGTTCATCCAAGGAAGAGATGGAAATACGAACAGCTATTGGTACGCAACATCTGGCGCCGTTGGCTTGAAGAATTCGTCCCTCGACTTAATATCCGTGCTAAGTGGCACAAGGAAGGCAGGGACGTAACCATCGGAGATGTCGTCCAGGTGATGGAGAAGACCACAGCAAGGGCACGTTGGCCTCTCGCTCGAGTGACGAAAGTGCACCCAGGCTCAGATGGTGTAGTGCGAGTGGTGGACATCCTA